TGTAAGCATTCAATCAAAAAGCATGTATTATTGAGCAGAGGAACTAGTGTATCACAAACATTTGCTAAATGGTACTTATAACTATTACTACTCAAAAATAATCATCATCAAACACTTATTAGATGCCTGAAGTATGCCAGGCACCATGGTGATGAAGAGACTACAACAAAGAGCAAGAAAGACTTGACTCTGCTTTCTCTCATGGAGCTAAGTCTAGTGGATGAGACAGACAATTAAAATAATGCTTGGGCCGAAACTGATTTGGCTCAGTGGATAGAGGGTCGGCCTGTGGACTCAAGGGTCCTGGGTTCGATTCCGGTCAAGGGCATATACCTTGGTTGTGGGCACATCCCCAGTGGGAGGTGTGCAGGAGGCAGCTGATCAATGTTTCGCTCTCATGGATGTTTCTAACTCTCTATCCCTCTCTCTTCCTCTCTGTAAAAAATCAATAAAATATATTAAAAACAAACAAACAAACAAACAAATAAATAAATAAATAAAATAATGCTTGGTAGGACTGGGCTAGGGAAAGTGGAGGGGGTCTGAAGGAACATAAAGTAGGGTCACCTAATCAGCAGGCAGTAGGAGAAAGAAAGCTCCTTGAGATATCCTTGGCATTTGAGTCCCATAAAGGATCATGTTTCAAAGACTGTGTTTGAATAAAGGGTTTCATGACTAAATAAAGGTTTAAAAACCACCAATCTAGTCCAATCTCTTCTTTTAGCAAGAATAAAACAAGGCCCAGGAGAGGTAAATTACACACTTGAGGTAACAATGCCTTAAGTTAGTTGTAGGCTGGGCTACCTGCTTTGAACTTGAGCTGGAAACTACTCACTGATCTGCATATCACATCATTTTGGCAAATGAACAAGCACTGGGAGTGGACACATCCAGAATTCGAAGGCACTGGTCAGGTGGATGGGCTGGCCTAGATTGGATGCTGAAGTGCTTTTCTACCTTAGCTTCCAAGCCAGCTCTCTCTGTGCCAAGATGCTGCCTCCAATTCCTCTCAGGAGTTGGCCAGCTACCCCTTCCGGAGGAACTCACTGGCTCCAAGAGTAGGTCTGCTTCTGAGCCTCCCAGCTAGTACCAGTACCTCCCAGCCAGTACCTCCCAGCCAGTTTCCTATTAACATGCTCAAGGTGAGAGAAAGAATTGAGCTTTGCCACTTATCACAGCCTGTTTAATACCCAGCCTGAGCTAGCTAGACCCATTTCTCATCTCCCTAACCACCATTGGGCTTATCACTCCTGATGACCAGGGGTTCAACAGAATCAGATTATCTGTAAATTAAAGGACCTGTATAGAAAACCAATATTACTTTTGTTAGTCTCCATTTTGAAACTCTCGAGAATGAAATGCTGCTTCATGTTTTAATGCTAGGACTTTTGTATATAAAAACAGTAGTAGTTTCACTTTAATGAGTCTGCAGTTTAGTTTTTTAAACTGAGGGAAAACGAACACTTTGGAATCTATAAAAATGGGTTAAAAGCTTAGTGATACCACTTAATAGCTGCTAGACCACTGGAGTATCTCAAATATTCTGAATTTCAACTTCTTTGATCATAAACAGGAAATACTAATAAAACTTACCTCACAAAAATGAGACTCAAAATGCTCTTTTAAATAAGTCACTTATCAAATGTATTATATCAATTTTCACATATAGTTGAGACCATACAGTTTTAAATTACCTATCCCCAGAGTACAATCAAGGAGAAAGAAATGGAATCAAGGTGCTCAGTGTCTCATTGGCTAATAAGTTCAGGATAGCATTGAGTTGGCATCTGCACTTCCCCACTCACAAACTGGAATTCTAGGAAAGTCACTCACTCTCCCTAGCCTCAATCTTCTCACTTATAAAATATATAAGAGGCTTGGTGCCTTGATTTTCATGCATGGAGGGGTGAGGGGACTGGGTGCCGTCATCTTTGAGGGCAGGGAAGTCAATTAGCATATTCCCTCCTTATTGGCTGTGGATGCCACCATCTGTTTGATGGTGTGAGGGTGGTCAATTTGCATATCCCCTATTTATTAGATATAGAATGGTTAATACCATCTAACTCACAGGGCTACTGTTAGTAATAAATGAAATAATGAAAGTAAAGGGCTTTCAACAGAAGCTGGTTTATGGTAAGGACTCAACAAGCAGTAGCCTTTTTTATCAATAGGTCTTTTCTTAACCCTTCTTTTCTATCCACCTCTCTAAAACAGAAGAAACAGCTAGCAAAGCCCAGATTACCTTAACTATTTAAGAAAATAATCATGAAAAAAAGGCCCTAACCGGTTTGGCTCAGTGGACAGAACATCAGCCTACAGACTGAAAGGTCCCAGGTTCGATTCCGATCAAGGGCATGCACCCTGGTTGTGGGCACATCCCCTCTAGGGGGTGTGTAGGAGGCAGCTGATTGATGTTTCTCTCTCATTGATATTTCTAACTCCCTCTCCCTTCACCTCTGTAAAAATCAACAAAATATATATTTAAAAAAAAAAGAGGAAAGGATTGTGAATGAACTGATGACTGCTGTTCCAGACTATTTATCATACTAAGGACATCTGATACTGAAAACCATAGGTATTACATTCTAAAGAACAAACCAAGCATGTGCAGTCTTTCCAAAGGAGTGACAAAGAGTAACAACAGAATTTTTGCTACAGTAGGCTATCCATTACTCTTTTATAGTCCCTAACTAGCAGAAAGTGCTAAAGGAAGGCAACTCTGATGCCACGTGCAAATCATTGCTTTTCTGTAAACATATCTCTATCATAAAGATTCCCCATAGCTCATTCAAATGCTTGTCTCTTGTGCCCCACTACCTGGTAAATTTGTTACACACTTCCATTATAGCAATTAACTTGTATTGTAAGGGGCTATTTGCATGTCTACCTTCACTACACTGTTAAGTTGATAAAGATCCTGGCTTACGCATCTGTGATTTCCCAGTGCACAACAGATCCCCATAATTACTAATTGAAGGATGGGTTTCACCTTCTTTCACTAGTTAAGGCTGTTAAGGAATAACTGGAGAGACATTAGTAGAAATTTTCAACAAACTAAGGTCCCCCAGAGGAGACCCCTGTTTTGGAGGGATCTTGTTTGGAGCTTGAAGGGAAGACTGTTCCTGCTTCAGAGTTACTTTCTTAAAAACACAAAGGACAGAATCAGCCCCTACAGAATTCCCAGACAACAAATTATATTCTTTCTTAGTAACAGGCAACGAAGTTTGTGAGATGAATGCCTGAGGTAACAAATAAAACTGACCTCTGGACATGACACTCTAGTTTCTAGAAGTATATTATGCCACTAGAAGTTCTAAAAACAAATAGGGAAGAAAAGTTAAGAAGCAAAGATAAAAAATGTCTCAGGTCAAAAACCCTAATATGTGTAACTGACATCAGGCTCCCTCAAAGGAGAGCCCACGACCAATAAACATATAACTTCAATACAGTATTTACCGTACCTATTTCAAAGCACTTTCAAATATATCTGTGAACTGCATCCAACCGTAAGCACAAAAACTTAAGGCTGGAACAGGTCTTGGAGGTCATTTGCACGACCACCTCACCAGCCAAGTGGCATCCAAGCAGCCTTAGCCTCCAGTAATTGGGAATTATGGTACTAACACCTGCTTTAAAAACCAGCTCCTGTTCTGACCATCTGTCCTTTTTTCAGTCTCCACCCCCAACCTTAGTGATCCCAATCAGATAAACCAAAGCCTTCAAGTCATCCCGTCACCAAACAACAGTCTGCTTCTCAATTCCACTTCTAACTCCCTTTCTCTGGGCCTCATCCTCAATCCTCCCCATCAACTCCAACCACCCAAAACATGGCCAGGGCCTCGAAAATCCCGATCCCCCAGACATTCCACTGGTTCCATTCCTGACAGTTCCCTTCCTCAGTGCTATTCATATGCTGTCATGTGCAAAACTACAAGCGCTCCCAGCTATGAATGTCTCTCGGGCCTCAGAATCTCTTCCCTTTCCTTTCTCACCTTCTCTGCTTCTTAGCACCATCCCTTCATTCCCTTCAAACTCGGTATCTCCTTCCTCCTCATGATTCCTTCCATGGACCACAGGAAATTACAGGTAATTGGTCCTTGACAACAGCTGTTGTTAAGTGACTATTAGATACGTAAAAGAGACCCTCCCAAAGCTCACCCTCAAAGAAGTCATGAGTCTAGAAGGAGATAGAGATCATTTATCCTTTAAGACTCCGCTTCTCCTGGAAGCCTTCCTCAGCCCAAAGTGAACCGGTCCCCTCTTCTCAGTGCCACAATTACGGTATATCTGACGCAATGACTAATCTTCTTGTGTGTCTCCCACCCCTAGCCTGTGGCCTCTGCAATGGGAGGACCCCTTGTGGCCCTGTCACTTAGCCCAGGACTAGGCACAAAGGCGATACCGAATGTTTGTTAAATGAGTGAATGGGTAAATTCTAGTATGCAATTATTCATTCATCTATTTGTTCATTAGTCGACCCAAACTTTCCTGAGCATACATTATGTACAATCTCCTAGGCTGTAAGGATAAATAAAATAGCTCTTACATTTAATAACTCAAAGCTGTAATATTAGTAGATTAGCACCTTCCCCCGGACCGCATCCTCAACGCCCACCTGAAACCTAGTCAGTCTTTTCCGCAGGCAAAGCCAACCTTCCTTTGCAGAAATCCACGCCCCTCACACCCAAGCTACCTCCTCCACCCTTGAGCTCCAACGTAGGGCCGGCCCCCAGCTAAAAAATGTCAAATGTTACACTCCTATCCATCTGGCTTCTCTCTCTGTCCTCCAGCTCTACCCATGAGGTTACCGTCAGTCCTCTCCCCACAAGACCGCCTTAGCGTCCCCGAGTCCAGGGTACCTCAGATTTCCCTCTCCGCGCATCCGCCTCCCAGGTAGCACCTTCCCTCTCCCGGTCCCGTCTACCCTACGAAATGAATTATTCCAGATACCACCACTCTCCTCCTTTCAGTTTTAGGCGGTGTCTCTCCTTGACTCTCACCTCATCCAGCTCCCGTTCCCCGGCAGCACCTCGTCCAACCTCTAGCTCTACCACTGCCGCCATCTTCACAGGCCTCCCCCTCCCCCGTCCGCCCGCGAGCCAGCTGCTTCCGCTGCTCAAGGGCTCCTAGCCAATCAGCAGCGTAGGCTCCGGCAGAGGGGGCGGGGCATCGAGACAGGCCGAAACCTGACAGGGACTAAGAGACCATCTACCTGATACTCACTTAAAGGTCAAGGAGGAACGGTTTCCTCGCATTTCCAAGCTTCGGCGGGGGAAGCGCTCTTGGGAAATGAGAAGCTGAGCTTGTATTATTTTCAGGGCAAATATTTCAACAATTCTCCCCTTTGGAGAACGAAAGAGAAGGGTCCATAATCTGTCAACTTTCGAGACGCTCCCTCACTCTAGGCTCCAAAGAGTGAGGCGTGGAGGCTAAGAACTACATTTCCCAGAATGCATTGAAACTAACACGGAAGTTTTCATTCCGCTCTGGATCAGAGATTTGTAGTGAATGAGAATTTATTGTAACCCACCTTACTGCTCACGGCACATGACTTCTTGCCTCTGAGGGAGTCATTTTTCAGAAAGAGCGGCTTTTGAGGCCCCAGAACGAATTCCCGGGCTTCGGGAGGCGGAAGAGTAGCTCTCTGGGTCAGAAGGCGGAGGTCAAAGGGACGAATTGGCGGGAGAATGTGTCTGTGGACCACGATCTCAGCTGCGGTGGCTCTTTAAGGTTCATTGCCCCGGGTGAAGGGTGTTGGGGGTTGTTGATGGCAGGGTAGTGGTCGAAAGAAAGGAGTCGCCGCCAGAACAGCGCGCTCCGAGGAAGTAGCGAGCGGTTTAGGCTCTAGAAATTGAAGAGCCTTGCTGTACCTCCACGGCCCCCAGACTGCTTCTTCGGGTCTCAAGTCTTTGGATCCAAGTCACACTTCTAGGTACTCTTTCCTAGGCCACATCCTGCATCTTCAGCACCTACCTTTCCCCCCTTCTTATACATCATATTTTCTGGGCTGCACTCCAATTTATAGCTTAGTATTGCAATTCATTTCCAAAAACCTGTTACTTGTCCATCCGGACCCAACACTTCACGAGCCTGCAGCTCCTGTCACCCCCCTGGGCATCCCTGCTGCAGCTATCCCATGCATAGAGCTAGGATGACTTTGTGGGCTCACAAGACTAGAATGCCAGTCAACTATTTGGAAGTTACAGGATAATATTTTGACCATCTGCAGCCATCTTATTTATTTAAAATGGGATTTTTTCCCCCTGAAAATGGAAATTATTTTTACTATGTGAAACTTAAGACAAAGAATATTATATCTATACCTTTACCCCACATTAACTATTGACATTATGATCTATTTGCTTCCTCATGTTTAAAAAAGAAAAAGTAAGCCCAGCCGGTGTAGTTCAGTGAGTTAGCATCAATCTATGAATCAGGAGGTCACGGTTGGATTCTGTTCAGGGCATATGCCCAGGTGGTAGGCTCGATCCCCAGTTGGGCATGCAGGAGGCAGCCTGTATATGATTTTTTTTTTTTTTTGCATCATCGATATTTCTCTCTCTCTCTCTCTCTCTCCCTCTCCCTTCTTTTCTGAAATGAATAAGAATATATTTTAGCCCTGGCCGGTTTGACTCAGTGGATAGAGCCTCCACCTGTGAACTGAAGGGTCCCAGGTTCCATTCCTATTAAGGGCACATGCCAAGGTTGTGGGTTTGAGCCCCAGTGTAGGATGTGCAGGAAGCAGCTGATCAATGATTGTGTCATCATTGATGTTTCTCCTTTCCTCCCTGAAATCAATAAAAATATACTTTTTAAAAAGATAAAATAATACAGATAAAAGTTGAACTTATCTGTCTTCTACTCTCAGGCTCATTACTCTTTCATCCTCCCCAGAAGCAACTAGTTTAATTAGCTGGTATTCTCTCAGTCCATAAAAAAAAAAGTGTGTGTACAAACTATATGTATTGTATTGTTTAACTTTTTTAATGAACATAAGTGCTATTTTCTGTGTATCATTTGTAATTCTTTCACTCTAATTTTTTGAGGTCTGTCCATGTTTCTGTGAATTTACATCCAAGTATTCCTTTTAACTGTTTAATAGTATTCAACTGGGTGATATATAACATTTCACTTATTCACTAGAGTTTTATGACTTTTGCTATTAGAAACAGTGTATGTGTCTTTTTATGCACATGTGAGTTCCTCTAGAGCTGCACTGTTCAAATAAGTTAAATACTGGAAATATAGCTTGTCAGAATTAAGATGTGCTGGAAGTGTTTATCAGAGGGCTCATTTCCCCACATTATTGCCAATCCTTTTTATTGTAAACATTTAAAAATTTAATATTTTAATTGCAATTTCCTTATTACTAGGGAAGCCAAGGTTTTTAAATATATATATTTTATTGATCTTTTTACAGAGAGGAAGGGAGAGGGACAGAGAGTTAGAAACATGGATGAGAGAGACAGCGATCAGCTGCCTTCTGCACACCACCTACTGGGGATGTGCCTGCAACCAATGTACATGCCCTTAACTGTAATCGAACCTGAGACCTTTCAGTCCGCAGACCGACACTCTATCCACTGAGCCAAACTGGCTTCAGCAGGGAAGACAAGATTTGTTAATATGGATTTTTGGTCATTCAGATTTCATCTTAAGTGAATTGTATGTTTATACATTTTCTCCAGTTTTCTTTTGAACTGCTTGCTCCTTTTTTTTTCTTTTCTAATTTGTAGTACTTAAAATATATATTCTGAATACTATCCAAGTTTATATATTGCAAATATCTTCTTTTAGTCAGTTATTTGTATTTCAGCCTCGTTTGTGTTCCCTTAAAGTATTTTTAATGTTTCTATCTTTGATCCATTTGAGTATAATTTTTCAAATATGTTACAAGATAGGCGTCTTTTTTATTTTTCTTCACATTGTGAAGACCATTTATTAGTTCATCTTTTATCTGACAGAATCATGATTCTGCTCTTTGTTACAATCTCTTACATATATGAGTCTTTTTCTGGTATCTATCTACCTGCTTGTTTCTATGGATAATATGTTTTAATTAAAGAAGTGGGGTTCAACTCCTTTAATCTTTCTTTCTAGAATTGTCTTCCCAACATGTGGCCTTTTATTGATTAATGAGTTTGTCATGTTTGCCAGAAACTTCTGCTGAAATGCTGATTTGAATTATATTGACTTATTAATTACTCTTTTCAATGGTTATTTGTGTTTCAGCACCTCTCTGAGGTGTGAGAGATGATGAACGTGCCAAAAATCCATATCCTCAAAGAGCTCACTAATTAGTGGGGAGACAAGCCATTGACCAAAACAAAACAAGAGCAACAGTACATACGCTGGGGCAAGAAGGCTAGAAAGTATCGATACTTAATTCTTGGATAACTACAGGCAATTTGATAGACAGTGATCTTCATGAAAAATAGTGTGTATGTCTTATTCACCTCTGTGTATGCAGCACCTAGTATATAACCTGGTATCTACCAGACAACACCTAAAATATTCACTAAATGAAATATCCAACATTGACAGCTTCAGGGTCTCTAAGCCTACAGTGTAGTTAGTTTGGGGGCTGGCTAGGTCAGACATCAGTATGTTGGTGATGAGAAATGATTACATTTTCACATCACATCATAAATGAATACTTGGAATTTTCTCCAAAACACAGATCATATCTTACTTATTTTTATATTTCCAATATCTAGCATAGAATAGGAAAATTTGTTAAATGTACAGTGAGCCCCTATTATGAGAATAATCTGCTCTAATTAATCTGGAGGCATAGAAAGCTAACTCAGGACTCATCCTGCATTCTTCTCTTTTTGAAGCCTTGGCACCATATTGAATGTGACCTGGGAGGAACGCTTGACCTTTAGATGCCCTTTGCTAAGAGTCTGTTACTACCCCACTCTGAGCGTTTCATGACTACTGGCCCTTTGGGGCTCAATTTTTAGGGTCATTAATTTAACAGCTATTTGCTAGTCTGGAACTGCAAGTTCCTTCCTCTTACATTGAGAACATAGAAGTGGATCAGATGTGAAGCCTGATTCTCCAAGAGCTTACAATTGGTCAAAGGATATAAGACATATATTCAGATAATTGTAATGCAGAATTGAGAGGATGGAGTTGTCACCTAGAGCTGGTTGGCAGCACTGGTGTGACATTTGAGCAATCAGAGATACAGTTCATTTGACAGGTGGGAAAGGTAAAGAGCTTTCTAAGCAGAGGTTATAGCATGAGCAAAATCTTGGAGGTGAGAAAAATATTTGGTAGGAAGGAGGCAAGAAGACCACTGAGGCCAGGAGTATAGTGGGTCATGGACCTATATTCAGGGGCCAGCTGGGCAACACACATGAGTAAGAAGGGCAGGAGATAAATATTTGGAGAGAGATCCATCTATAGACAGTCAGACAACTTTAAAACACCTCTGGCCAAGGAATTGTTGCAGCCAGGTGATGGATGCATGAAAGAACATCATGCTAATATGTATGTTTTTGCATATACTAAAAATTTTCCATAAAAAGTCTAGCAAAAGACAAAAGTACAAATACCCATATGAGCTTTAAGAAAATCCTCAGATGAAAGGAATAGGAGATAAAGCAGGGAATGTAGAGATTTACATTGTGGATGTTTGAGGGGCCAACTTGCACTAATATTTATTAATATCAGCAAGCCATTGAAGATTTCTAAGTGACTTATGCAAAGCTAAATTAGGAGATGCATTTTTGGGGGAAGAAAATAACAACTAAAAGACAACTGCATCATATATTTAGGTGAACGTTTGTTGCACATCTTTTTTTTAAAGCATATTTGTGCTATTTTATATATATATATATATATATATATATATATATATATATATATTTCATTGATTTTTTACAGAGAGGAAGGGAGAGGGATAGAGAGTTAGAAACATCGATGGGAGAGAAACATCGACCAGCTGCCTCCTGCACACCCCCCATTGGGATTGTGCCTGCAACCAATGTACATGCTCTTGACCGGAATCGAACCTGGGACCCTTCAGTCCACAGACCGACGCTCTATCCACTGAGCCAAACCGGTTTCGGCTTGTTGCACATCTTTACTGTGTGCCAGACTCTAGGGATATAAAGATGAATGATTGAAGGCACACTTCATGCCCTTAAATGTTTGGGAGCTCACCTACACAAAAGCCCAACACTAACATACCAATATATCTTTTGTACTCGCTGGTCTATTGCCCTGTGGTTGCATTCCAGTTGTTTCCATTTGTTAGAATCTAATCAGTTGGTGCAGATCTGGTTCCTGTCCTCCATCCTGGTAGTCATGGTAATCTGTAACAGTCCAACTGCTGCAAATAACTACTGTTACCAGAGGAACAGCCGTGGCTAGTTTATTTTTCGTTTGTTCTCTTCTGCAGGAGTAGTATTCTTTCTCTTCTGGAAGCTGACGGGACCAAAATGTAGATAGTGCCAAAGCGGTGACAGAAGAAATCTCAGGAGAAAGCATTTTCTCCTTGTACCGGGGACAGCTGCTGGGCCTGCCATGGCTCCTGTGAAGATCAGCCACGTGGTATCATTTTCCTCTCAGGTAATAGTTGGTCTATAACTATTCTTCCTCACAGGCCTTTATCCTCTCAGGTATATTAAGTAGCAGACATGGTTTTTACTTGGTGACTGAACAGAGTGGGGGGGCAGGGCGCGGATAGAGGAGTTGGCTCCACTTTCAGGAAACACACAGTCTAATAGAAGACACATTGTCCCTTCTTTGAGAGTTCAGAGTGGAAGTGAGGGAACATAGCTCTGGCCCTCAGGTTGTTCCCAGAGCAATGCTGGACACACAAAAGAAGTGTTCTCAGGAACTCAAGGTAAAAAAAGAAACCACCTCAGATTTCACTCTTAGTTTGGAGGGAACTGGCAAAGCTGTAGGATCGAAATCTGTACCAGGGTTCCCAGAAGAGACGTGTAATCACTCAGTCACTGAGAGCAGACCAGGACACTCATGTCATCCCTGACCTGTGAGGATATCGGCACCATCAGCAAAGGTGACTTCAGCCTTCTCCCTAACAGTCCACTTTCAGGAAATCCTGATTATCCTGATTACAGCTGGATGCCAATCCGTGTTGATAAGGACTTCCCTCCCTTTCCTCTACTGTCATTTCCCTATCCATTTACCCATTCTTCCAGCTCTTCCCCTTCAGTTATCCTAGTCTTTCTCAAGGGTTGCTGTTGACATTTTGGGTCAGATTAGCCAGCATTTCATAGCAGGATCATTTGCATGGTGGAGTATTTAGCCTCCGGGGCCTCTAGACCCTAATACTTCCTGGTCATTATGACCCTCATAGGCTTCGCTACACCTTTCAGAAAGACCCTTAGAGTGTCTTTAGGAACTACTGTATCAACTCCTAAGTGAAATGGAATAAAAGTTACTCTCATCCTCCTTACCTATATGGTCAGTCTAAATGGTTTTCTTCACAGTGTCAGCCTTATAAAATGCTAGAGAAAGAATCATTGGTTCGCTGCCTCTTGTATGCCCCCTACTGGAAATCGAGCCTGCAACCTCCGGCATATGCCCTTGACCAGAATCAAACCTCAGGCCCTTGAGTCCACAGGCTGATGTTCTATTCACTGAGTCAAGCCGGTTAGGGCTCCTCAAGAAAGCATTAGCTATCTTCTTTTTTTAAAATATATTTTTATTGATTTCAGAGAAGAGGCGAGAGGGAAAGAGAAACATCAATGATGACAGAGAATCATTGATCAGTTGCCTCCTGCACGCCCGAAACCCCGGCATGTGCCCCAACCGGGAACCAAACTGTGACGTCCTGGTTCATAGGTCAGTGCTCAGATGCCGAGCCATGCCCCCCAGCCTAGCTATCTTCTAATGTCGTGGTTTCCAGCTCTACTCTGTGTGGACCCACTTCTAGAAGTTGAAGGGAGAACTAGGTCCCCAAACTGTGCTTTAACCAGAGTTGTGCTTTATATTTATTGAAAACACACACACACACACACACACACACACACTTTGGTATAAGACTTCAGTTAAAAGGAAGGGTTTTATTACTAAAACAAAAAAACAAGATTGAAGACCATGAATCTAGTCTCTCCACTTATGATGAAGAAATTTAGATTTAAAGAGAGAAAGTAGTTTGCTCAAGGCCTACCCACCAAAAAATGCCTGACTCTGGGTTAGATCTGAAATTTTCTATCTCAGTATTGCTATTGCAGCCTTTGAATGAACTGCTTTATTTGTAGCCATCAGTTGTAAACTTAGATGCAAATCTTTGCCTTTCCTCCTAGCCAGTTTTGGTCAGTGGTTAGAGTGTCGGCCTCCGGACCGAAGGGTGGTGGGTTCAATTTCCAGTCAAGGGCACATACCTGGGTTGCAGATTCAATCCCCAGCCTGGGGGGAGAGGGGGGCCCACATATGGGAGGCAACAAATCAATGTGTCTCTCTCACATTAATGTTTTTCTCTTCCTCCCTCTCTCTCTCTTCCCCTTCTTCCTTTCCACTCTCTCTAAATAGTCCATGGAAAAAATATTCTTGGTGTGAGGAGGATTAACAACAAAAATACTTGTTTAGAGCTGCTATAGTTTCACAGCAAAATTGAATGGAAAGTAAAGAGATTTCTCATATGTACCCCGCCCCCAAATATGCATAGCCGCCAGCATTACCACCATTCCTCCACCAGAGGGGTGCATTTGTTCCAGCTGATAAACCTACATCATTATCACCCAAGTCCAAAATTTACCTTAGAGTTCACTAGTGATATTGTGCATTCTATGGGTTTTGCCAAATGTATACTATTCATTCCCATCATCAGAGTATCATACAGAGTAATTACACTGCCCTAAAAACTCTCCGTGCTCTTATTTTATCCCTCCATCTCCCCTAACCCTTATCAAGCACTGAACTTTTTACTCTCTCCATAATTTTGTCTTTTCCAGAATGTTATGTAGTTGAACTCATATAAAGCATGTAGTCTTTTACATTGGCTTTCACTCTCCCATTGATGTGGGTTTTTTTTCTCTCACTTTCTCTCTAAAATAAATGAACATATCCTCAAGTGAGTATTTTAAAAATAAAAATAAATGAAGCCCCATCAGAATGGCTCAGTTGATTGAACTACATCCTGTAAAGCAAAGAGTTGTCAGTTCGATTCACGGTCAGGTTCAGTCCTGATTGGAGCAGGTTGCAAAAGACAACTAATCAATATTGCTCTTTCTTATTCTCTCTCCCTCTGTCTTCCCTCCCTCTCTCTCTCCTTCTCTTTCCCCCTCTCTATCCCGAAGACCTCAGGTGAAGATTTATAAAAAAAGAAAAAATAGGCCCTAGCTGGCTTGGCTCAGTAGATAGAGTGTCAGCCTGCAAACTTAAGGGTCCCAGGTTCGATGCCAGCCAAAGGCACATGCCTGGGTTGCGGGCTTGATCCCCAGTAGGGGGTGTGCAGGAGGCAGCCAATCAATGTTTCTCTCTCATCATTAATGTTTCTATCTCTCCTCCCTTCCTCTCTAAAATCAATAAATATATTATAAATAAATAAATAAATAAGTAAATAAATAAATAATAGTATAGTGTGTTGGTTAAGAGCTCTAGATTCAGAAACCTGGGAGTTCTGATTCAGATTGGTTATTTGGCCTTTGGCGTTGGGTAAATTTCTGAACCCAAGCTTCAGTTTATTGATCTGTTAACTACAAAGCAATAATAATAACCACCTAAAGTTGTTCTGAGAATTAAATGAGGCAAATGTCAGAGGGGAAAACAGTGTCTGTAAATCTATTGGTATGTAATGCTATATTCCTATGGACTCCGGTCTGGTGCCTTTCCTGTCATGTTGGAATGCCTGGAAAGGTTTGGGAGTCTAGGAATCCCTTATTTGTTCCCTTTGGCTCAGGAAGGTTCCTGATGCTCTCCTCTCTCTGACTTAGGATCCCAAGTATCCTGTGGAGAACTTGCTGAACCCAGACAAACAGAGGGGACCTTGGCTCAGTTGCCCTCAGGACAAGAGTGGGCAACTGAAAGTAGAACTCCAGCTGGAAAGGGCAGTGCCCATTGGCTACATCGATGTGGGTGAGTGAGTTCTCTGGGGCCTAGGAGCCTCTGCAGGAGAACATAGGAGTAACGTTCCCCTCCAAATGCTCCACCAGAATGTCTCAATTCAGGCTGGCCAGTCAGCCTTAACTGGTGGCCCTTGCCCTTGGGGCAGGGATGTGGTGTTGGCAAGAACCCTAAGGATTCCATTCACATAGAATTGAATGTGAATGGCACTCCTTAAATTAAGCAACATACCTCCCCTGCTTTAATCTGGGTGAACTGGGTGAAACCTTAGGACATTGACATAACTAAATGCAACAAATAGAATTTATACTCTTCTAAATATCAATGCCAAGAGGATACTGGGGATGGACTGTGCTGGCTCATCCAGGAAGGCTTCATAGGAGTTTATGGGTTGAAAAGGTTGGCTTTAGAATTCTCTGGACTAGAGAGGTGACAAAGACCATTGATCTCAGCTCTGTTGGGTCAGAGAGATGGCAAGCTCCCTAGCAAGGATTCGTTTTTTTAATTCTTTATTTTTATTTATTTTTATTTTTTACTGAGAGCGAGAAAGGAAGCTGGAGGGAGAGGGGGAGAGAGAGGTATCAATTGGTTGGTTCACTTACTGATGCATTCATAGGTTGATTCTTGTATGTGCCCTGACCATGGATTCTACCTACAACTTCGGTGTATCGGGATGACACTAACCAACTGAATTACCTGCCCAGAGCCTTCCTAACAAGGATTTAAGAGAGATAAGAGCCCTACGGGTTTGGCTCAGTGGATAGAGCGTCAGCCTGCAGACTCAAGGGTCCCAGGTTCAATTCCGGTCAAGGGCATGTACCTTGGCTGCAGGCACATCTCCAGTAAGGGGTGTGCAGGAGGCAGCTGATCGATGTTTTTCTCTTGTTGATGTTTCTCTCTTTCCCTCTCCCTTCCCCTTTGTAAAAAATCAATAAAATATATATTTTCTTAAAAGAGAGAGAGATACAAGTTTGGCACTGCCTCCAGAGCCAGAGGACAGGGAAACAGCGAGTGTCGTTAGCCAAGGGAAGGCTTCTTTCTGGCCGGGAGGAAGATGGTGGACCTACCTTCACAATGCCATTTATTGGGGCTGAGGGTCTCGTTTCACTTCAGTTCCTGGCTCACTATGTTGCTTGGCCTTTCTGGCTTCCAGTTGCTATAGTTAGAATGGAGAAATGTCCTCTTCCCACCTGATTCCCTTGTGTACAGTCAGGGGAGCCCTCATCCTATATCCCTTACCCTTCTCTCAACCTTTTGTCCCCAGGTAACTGTGGCTGTGCTTTCCTGCAAATTGATGTGGGCCGTTCTTCCTGGTCCCTGGACAGACCTTTTGTCACCCTGCTCCCTGCAACCATGCTCATGTCCCGGGCTGATTCAAAGCAGGGGAAAAACCGCTCCGGGGTCCGCATGTTTAAAGATGGTAAGGAGGGCAACAGCGGAAATGGGAGAGACTCAGCAAGAGAGACAGATTATGCGAAAAGGCTGCAGTGCAGTAGAGGGCTAGTAGGCATATACTGGGGGAGGGAACCTATGCAGGGGTTAGTTCTGTCTGTTGGGGGGACAGGGACTAGTTAACAAGTGAACATCCATGCAGTGTGTTTGTGATGTGTTCTCCATGATGAAAAAATGTGATTCCTTGGGATATTTATGAGCTGTGATTTATATTTATACTCAACATGACTCAGTGAAACCGGATGCAGAAAACACATTTGTGACTAGTGTGCTTTTGTTTGTATAAATGTAAGTGTGAGTGTAGGATGAATGTTTACATAAGTGATAGGAGGCTATATGATATAGTTATGTAGCCTGTAGTGTTTCCTGAATTCTGTTCTATGCCGATCTCTGCGTTCACTGAGCACCACATAAGATCTGAACTCCTGGCCTTTGGGGACTTAGGATTCGTCTGTGTTTAAACTGGAGGTGTTTGTAATGTGAAGGAAGAATGATCAGGGAGGGGCATACAAGGTGGAGGAGATGAGGTCTTGATAGATAGTGCTGGGAATTGACGGTAAGGAAGGTTTGTAGTACTGGTGTGTGATTCTGTGAGTGCTAGCGTAGTGCATGGAGTGCTTGTGGGAGGCTGAAGTCTCATGATCCAGGAAGGGTAGATGTAGATCATCTAATCCAGTGAGCAAGTAACACTACAGATACTTCCTGTTAAAGTGAGACATTGATAAGGTCCCTGGAGAAGTATAAAATACGAATGTACCCATGCTGGGAATGGGAATAAGGTGGACCTGTGACAGGGAGGAGTGATGGTGTCTGAGAGGACCCCAACTGGCCTGTTTGGCACTGCCAAACCCTGAGCACCAAGGACTGAGGGGTCAGTTACTGAGGACCCTCATTATTCCTTTTGTTGGACTTTATATAGTCCCTCTCCTTGCTTTCCGCTCCTCGGTATTGACCTTTCTCCCTCCCATTCATACATTTCCTGTCCCCCTCATTTTCTTCTCCTGGAGATGATTTCCTGGCTCCAGCCTCAGGTGAATCATGGGATCGACTTCGCCTGACTTGCTCCCAACCCTTCACGCGTCATCAGTCCTTTGGCCTGGCCTTCCTGCGTGTGTGCTCCTCTCTGGACTCCTTAGATGACCCTGTGGTGGATCCCTCAGCCCCTGTGAGCTCTGGGCTGAGCCAGGTAGGAGCACTGGTGGAGTAAGGACTTAATATTTTCCCATCATCCTTTCAGTTTCTGGTTAGGAAGCTGGTGCTTGATTGAGTAATACACACACTACATTCAAATACAAATGTAAATGGGCTCGCTACATTTTCTTAAAGGTAGGAGTGCATACCTTCCCTTTTACATGCGAAAGGTTCAAGTGAGTGGGCCTTCAATATAGTTTGCACAGAGCTGGTGGGCCATTGTTATTTAGCCATTAAAAAATTCTTTGGGGCCCTGACCAGTATGGCTCAGTGGATAGAGCATCGGCCTATGGACTGACGGTTCCCGGGTTCGATTCCGGTCAAAGGCATGTAACTTGGTTGTGGACACATCTCCATTAGGGGATGTGCAGGAGGCAGCTGATCTGTTTCTCATCCGATGTTTCTAACTCTATATCCCTCTCCCTTCCTCTCTGTAAAAAATCAATAAAAAAAATATATATATTTTAATTCTTTTGGAATTCAAACTTAATCTTATACTTTATTTCTGGGTTATTGGAGACTCTAGCTTTCATCAGACTTTTCCTTCTAGTACCCGAAACAACCAGGACTCACTACAGTCCCTCTGTCATGTTGTTCCCTAACCCACCTACCTCTTCTTAGATCTGTGCTTTGCAATTTCATGTGTTCTCTGCTTTCTCTCCCTTTACAATAAACACTATGCTGCCTAAAAGATGTATAGGTTTCTGGCTGTCAGTAACTAATCAATTTATCTCTTTTTTTCTCAACAAGTTTTCTAATTTTTCTTTCTTCCTAAGCATATTATGACTCCTCCTTTTTTGTTGTTGCTGTTGTTTTTGTTGCTCCTCACCCAAGGATATTTTTTTTTAATTGTTTTCCAGAGAGAGAAGGGAAGGAGGAAGGGAGAAAAAGAGAGAGAAACATTGATGTGAGAGAGATAATCCACTGGTTATCTCCAACACATGCCCTCTCCAGGGCTGAGATCAAACCTGCAACCTAGGCACGTGCCCTTGACCAGGAATCAAACCCCTCACTGCCCAGGCAGACACTCCAATCATTAAGCAACACCAGCCAGGGCTGACTCCTCCTTTCCTATCAGTGGTGTCTCCATTTATCTTTCCAAGCCTGTACTGTAATTCACTCACAAATAAATATGAAGATATAATCACACAAAACTAGAATCATAAAATTCTAGAGATGGAAAAATAATAATACTTAAGAGATCATCAAATCCTAACCACCTCATTTTACATCTCAGAGAGGGAAACTTACATATTCAAATTCGCACAGCACGTCAAAATTGAGTAGAGACCAGAATTCAGACCCTCCTATCATTTAACCACAGTACCTCTATGTACAATGTACATTTTTAGAAGCTTCAAACATTTGACATAACCAAAAGAATTTCAGTTCTCAGGAGTGAACCTCACAAGTGTCACTCCTATTGAGGTTACTGAGAAAAAGAAGAGACTGGACATTGGGAAGAGAAAGGGGAGTTAAAGTAGACAGAGGAGGAATATGCTCTTAAATAGCCACAGGAGAGACCCAGGGAGCTGAGACAAGGAAAGCGTGGTTTGAGATTTACTCTTCATTGCGTAAAGGGATAAAAAACGCCAAAGGCCAGTAGAAGCAGTTCAGTGTGCTCTGCCAGGTCCCATATCTCAGTACTTGGAGCTGACGTGAATGGAGCTAGAGCTATTCAATCAAGTGGAAGCTCTGTGAGATTAGGAACCTGTTTGTCTTGTTCCATAATGCATTCCTAGCAGCTGGAACAAAGTAGGCTTTGAGTGTACATGTTCATTATGTAAATGACCTTTCAGAGGGGAGTTGTAGATAGAGTATCATAAAACTTGTCATCCAAACTGAGACCAAAAAAGAGTGCTATTAATAATTATACTGAGCCCAGCTGGTGTGGCTCAATGGCTGAGCATCGATCTTTGAACCAGGAGGTCACGGTTCAATTCCTGGTCTGGGGACATGTCCGGGTTGTGAGCTTAATCCCCAGTGTGTGGTGCAGGAGGCAGCCGGCCAATGATTCTCTTGCATTATTGATGTTCTCTCTCTCTCTCTCTCTCTCTCTCTCTCTCTCTCTCTCTCTCTCTCTCTCTCTCTCTCTCCTTTCCTCTATGAAATCAATAAAAAGATTTTTAAATGATAATAATTATAATACTGAGGCAACAGACATAATAGGCACGACTTCCCAGGCAAACTAGGACAGACGATCTCCCTAATTATAGGACAAATACTTTATAGAGTCTTTTTCATTTTTGGCCATCTAAATTACTCTGCACCTGTGCTGGCTGAGGGCTTAGCTGGTTAAAGCGCCTGGCTAGTAAATTACTCTGCACCTTTAGAACCATGGTGGGATCAAGAAGGAAAGGAGTCAGCAACTCCAGAGCCATAATGTCAGAAAGGCATTGAACATCAGTGGCAGAATGAAACTTGTTTTATGTACCTCAATGAGACCACAGGAAAAGGAGATCCTGAAACATTTCTACAAGAGAGGATTGATACATGGTAACAAATTGGTGGTTCTCAGTTTTATGATTTATGACCTCTAAAGTGCCATAGGCTTAAAAAAATAAATAAGTAAATAAATAAATAAATAAATAAATATATAATCATTCCAATGGTAAGGTATAGTGAAAATATAAGTAATCCTGTAAAGTAGGGTCTTTTATGATCACCAAGTTTCCAATAAGGAAACAGAAGCCAGAGAAGTTTAGTAGGATGTCCCAGGTCACACTGCTAAATAAATCTTAGAATGGATTTGAACCCAGGCCACCTGGCTCCACTTAGCCTGTGCTGGAGAGCTCATTTCCTAATGATTAATCGCATTTAGAGTTAAATAACCATCTCTACACATCCAGCTAGTTACCCTGTATAGTATTCACTCTAAAATTTATGAGACATGGTAAGGAAAAAAGAAAAATCCTGGTAAAGTAAACAAAGTATTTCAAAATTAATGCAAGGCCCAAGATGAGGCTGCAAAATAATTTCTAATTAGAAAATATTAAACAATGAATGTGAATAAAAAAACTATTTCTCAAATTTGCATAATGAGGCCAAGGTCATGCTTTACAAGAAAGATATTTACCTTTAAAAGAATCTGTGATTGCCCTAACCCAGTGGTTGGCAAACTCAATAGTCAACAGAGCCAAATATCAACAGTACAACAATTGAAATTTCTTTTTTGAGAGTCAAATTTTTTAAACTTAAACTTCTTCTAATACCACTTCTTCAAAATAGACTTGCCCAGGCCGTGGTATTTTGTGGAAGAGCCACACTCAAGGGGTCAAAAAGCCTCATCTGGCTCGTGAGCCACAGTTTGCCAACCACAGCCCTAACCAGTTTGGCTCAATGGATAGAGCTCGGCCTGGGGACTGAAGGGTCCCAGGTTCGATTATGGTCAAGGTCATGTACCTTGGTTTCGGGCATATCCCCTCCAGTAGGGGGTGTACAGGAGGCAGCTGATCGATATTTCTCTCTCATCGATGTTTCTAATCCTCTCCCTTCCTCTCTGTAAAAAAATCAATAAAATATACATTTTTTAAAATCATTAAAAAAAAATAAGCTGAAAATTAAAGAAAAAAATATTTAATTTTTTAAATTCAAGGAAATTTGGAAAAATAAAAAAGGACATAGCCACAGATGGATCAACAGATAAATTGCATTTTGACAAAAGAATTTAAAAATTGTAGCATTCCACACAAATAAAATCTATGTACAGTAAAAGTGATCTATTGTATGATTATTACACATAGACCTTCGTGGAGTTTTAAGGAGAGAGGTTTATAAAATACCTGTGATAGATATAGTGGCTAATGCTAGAAAAAGATGTGTCATATATCTATATACCCATACATATATACACCTCTCTTTTTATAGATGGCTAGAAATTGGTAGGCTGTTTATAACTTCAGGTAAATAATTGTTCACAAAATAAATCATAATGTATATTAAACAATATTAAATAGTATTTAGAAAAATGATAAAAATGTCCCCAAATAGTTCAAAACAGAACTACTTTAAAATATAAAGAAATATGTGTGTATAATTTCTCTCACATAGATGTGTATAGAGATGAGTGATTTGAGTTTTATACCTACATGAATCAATTTTATATAGCTACAAATTTATATATATAAATGCACATGATATCAATCCCATAGCCTCTTTTTCCCCAACAGGATCATGACAAAACCCTTAGCATTGGGATAAAAAGTATACAAAATCGCCAAAACCGGTTTGGCTCAGTGGATAGAGTGTCAGCCTGCGGACTGAAGGGTCCCGAGTTTGATTTCGGTCAAGGGCATGTACCTTGGTTGCAGGCACGTCCCCAGTGGGAGGTGTGCAGGAGGCAGCTGATCTATCTCTCTCATCGATGTTTCTAACTCTCTATCTCTCTCCCTTCCTCTCTATAAAAAATCAATAAAATATATTTTTAAAAATAAAATAAAAATAAATAAATAAAAAGTATACAAAATCACCCATCTCACATCTCAGAGCTGCAAGAGAGTGTGCACACACAAGCAAAGGTGCCCTTGTACAAGTTATAGCAGATACATCCACTCACTGAGCTGAAGTCCTCAGGTTTGGGAGTATCCTTGGCACTAGGTGACAGCATCCCCTGGTGGTGAATGTCTGTATTTCATATTTCTCTATTTTCTTTTCAGGATTCTTCTAATGCTTCAGAGTCTGGTCCCAGCCCCTGGATGGCTAATCCTTCTATCCGGAGGACATTCTTCCCAGATCCCCAAACGTATGTAGCTGCCAGAACGGAGGTCTCCCAGCCATTTTTCAGTTCTTTCACCTCGGAAAGAAAAACTACCAGGTTGCTCTCAAGCATGCAAACCCCACCTGGGTTCCCCCAATTAATCACATCCTCCACGCCTATATCTATATGTTAAACTGGTTTTCTTGGTTAGATGCCACTGACTTGGGTGAGCAAAATGGAGTCTTTGTTCTGAGTGAAACTAAGTACTCTGTTTCCTTGCAGGAACACTAAGGAAATTTCAGACCTTAGGAATATCCTAAAGCAGCTGCATCCGGGGCCTTTGGGGCGTTCAGCCCGCATGGTGCTTTCAGCTGCCCACAGGGTATCTCCAGCCAGTGTGGCAAGCCCCAAAAACAACCCTGTGGAACCAGGTCCCAGTCATCAAGACAGAGCAGGTGAGGCCCCAGGACCTGCCTTTGGCTCCTTATTCTCCCTAGCACCATCCTTTCTCCTCAAATCCCCCACTGCTCTTTAGAGATGCCTCACCAATGGAACTTCAATTGAGAGAAAAGAAAATTTTCAGTGTCTTATTACCAGAAGAAAAAACAAAACAAGGACCAGTGGGTTCACTTGGCCTGGCTTGCACCCTCTCACAATCGGGGACCCCTCCGGGGATGTCTGACTGCCAATTTCAGCCCGATCCCTACAGGCCAGGCCGAGGGACCCCGCCAGTGCACAAATCCGTGCACCAGGCCTCTAGTATGCATATAAGAACTTTGGTTAATCTCTTTCCACCCTCCCCCCCTTCCCTCTGAGATTCACCAGTCTGTTCCATGTTTCCATGCCTGTGTACTGAGTGTCTGCCCCTCGGTGGTCAGTGCATGTCATAGCTAGTTGAATGGTCAGTCTGTCACTTAGGCTTTTATATATATATAGATTGGTTGAATGTAGTCCCATGCACCAAAAGGTCGCTGGTTTGATTCCCTGTCAGGGCATATGCTTGGATTGTGGGCGCATTTCTCCAGTAGGGGGCATGCAGGAGGCAACCTTTCAGTGATTCCTTCTCTCTTTCCCTCTCTTTCCCTCTCCCTTCCTCTCTCTCAAATCAATAAAACATATTATAAGAAAAAAGAAAGAAGAAGGAACACTAGCCTAAGAATCAGAAATCCTTATCTTTTGGGCCTCAATTCCCTAATATTCAAAGTGAAGGAACTAAACCAAATAGTATTTAGGCCTCTTGCCGTGTTAATGTTCTGTGATCATCTCAGAAGGACAATTAAGTCAGGGTGATGGTCTGTGGAGCTTATTGGAGAAATAGAGTTGGGAAATAGTGTGCTTTGTCACAGAGGAAGAAAGCACTAAACATTTTAGAGTTCTTCCTTTGCACCAGGCATTGTTGGCACCTTTACTAACTTTATCCATTTGCTGTTCACCACAAACTTACGAAATAGATACGGTTGTACTCATTTTACAAAAGAAGCGGAGATACAGAGCGGTAAAGTGTTCTGAATCACACAGCTCATCAGTGGCAGAACTGGGATGTGAACCCCACAGCTCTTTGTATCCTAGATAGCAAGAGAGAGAAAACAGGTAGAGTTCTCACTGAAAACCTCGGTTTCACTCACTGCTTCACTGGGGGAAAAACATTTTAAGGAAATGGTTTATCATTCCAAGGAACTGAACAAATTAGTGAAATCATCAGTATATAATTTCATTGCAGAAACAGGGTGCATTGGTTATCTGTTGTTACAAATTACCCCCAAAAGTTAACACAATCTTTATTATCTCATAGTTTCTGGTGGTCAGGATTCCAGGCGTGGCTTACCCGGGTCCCCGGCTCTGGGTGTGTCACAGGCTGCAGTCACCTCCGGGCTCACCTGGCAGGGATCGGCCCCTAGCTCACTTACATTTCCTCATGGCTGGTGGGCTGAGGCTCCCTCAGTTCCTCTGCCAGAGAACCTCCTCAGAGCATCTCATAGTATTGATGGCCGCTTGCTTCAGCAGAGGGAACAAAAAGAGTGTGCTAGCAAGAAAGCCGCCAGTCTTGTAACCTAACCACAGAAGTTTACATCCCATTGCTTTGCTAAATTCTGTTCATTACAAACGAGTTACGAGGTCCTGCCCACACCCTCGGGGAGGCATGAATACCAGGAGGCAGGGATCAATGGCAGTCACTTCAGAAGCTGCCTGCCCCATTAAGAAGGATGTGTTTTATTATTTGAAGAGATGGAGAATGGAAGGAAACTAAACTCTTTTTAGGTGCCCTACAGGCTGGGCACTGGAGCCATGGAAGCTCTTTGAAGCATATGAAACACCATGCACAGTATTTCATAAGTGTTGAGTTACCAGACAGATGGCTGTTGCTGGGTTTTGTTATTATTACTCAGTTGACATATTTATTGAGCATCTCCGTGCAAGGCTGTGTGCTAGGTGCCAGGGGTATCACAGCAAATAAAACAGCAGTGCTCCTGCCCCAATGGAAAGGCTGTGTCACTGTCACACAGGAAATCTAAACTGTGTTAAGTGCAGGATGACCAGATTTAGAGTAGAGAACATAGGGAAACTTCCTCATAGGAATTAGCATTTCCTCTAAGACTTAGAGAATTAACCAGAAAAAGAGGATAGAAAGAATATTTTTAAAAGAAGAAACATCATTTGTGAAGGCCATTTTGTTTTTGTTTTCTTTACTCTTTTATCCTCACTGGTGGAGTGAGGATTTTTGTTTTTTCATTGATTCTAGATAGAATGGTGGAGAAGGGAGGGGGCTTGAGAGAGAAAGAGAGAAATGTTGATGTGACAGAGACACATGGATTGGTTGCCTCCTACACATCAGACCTGCAACCCAGGTATGTGCCTTTGACCAGGAATTGAACCTGAGACCCTTTGGTGTGCAGGCTGATGTTCTAACTACTGCGCTGTGCTGGCCATGGCTGAAGGCCCTTTTGTAAATGAGCTTTCTCACACAGAGCCCAGACCAGAGGAACAAAACTCGGAGAATGATGTGGGCAAGAGGAAAAGACAAAAAGTACAAGCCCGCAGGTAAGTAGGTCGACCTGAAAAACCCATATCACCTCCCCACACCTTTCTGCCCTTCACCTGTCCTTCTTCCCCACTCGTGTTTCAGTTACGTCTCCTAGTCTGGACCTAGAGGGTAGTAGAGAAAAGATGTCCTTGTCCACATTTTGTCAGGCTTAGAGCTGAGCAAGGAGGTAGCACTGTAGTGAACCAGAATTTGAAGCTGAGTACACAGTACTTGTTGGACGTCATTAAAATTTAAATATTTTCTGCTTCAGTAGACACTCAAAAAAAAATAAAATAAAAAGATAACCCATAGAATATGTAAGGAAATAATTCCACTCATACATCTGAAAAAGAACTTTTATCTATAATATATAAGGAACCCTTACAACTCAATAATAAAAGAACCTAATTCAAAAAATATTTCAAATAGACAAAGATTTTTCTCCAGAGAAGATGTATTGGATACACACACACACACACACACACACACTAGAGGCCCAGTGCATGAAAATCCATGCACTGGAGGGGGCATCCCTCAGCCTGGCCTGCCCCCTCTCACAGTCTGGGAGCCCTCAGGGGTGGGAGGCAACCCGGCAATCAGGGGAAGGCAATGCCCCATCACACCTCTGCTGCTGCCACTGCCAGCAGTGCAAGCCTTGGCTGGCCCTGGTTACCTGAGCCTCGGGCGGCCCTGGGTGGCTGGGCCATCTGAGGCTTGCCTGCACCTTGGGCCGGCCTTGGGCAGTTGGTGGGCTGAGGGGATTGGGGGACTCTGGAAGCTAGCGCCTTACACCCCGGAAGGCTGAAGGGACTGGGTGCTAATATCTTATGGCCGAGGACACTGCCATCTTTGAGGGTGGGGCAATTAGCCTATTCCCTCCTTAATGGCTGTGGGTGCCGCCATCATTGTGATGGCATGAAGGTCAATTAGCATATTCCCTCTTTATTAGGTAGTATCTACATTAATAAAAGAGAAATATCCAAGTTGACCATACCTTCATGACACCCGCCAGCCAGTCAGGAGTATGCAAATTAACCTAACAAAGATGGTGGGCTAATTTGCATATGCAGGGGCCGAGTGGCCACTGGTGGGGCAGGACACTTGCATCGTTGCCATGGCAATGACCCAGGCATTCCACACTGCCCCAGCAGCTCCCGGCCTCTGGGCAGCGTGGGAAGGTGGAAAGGCGGCTCTGGCCAGAGCCAAGGCAGTGCCAGCAGCCAGGGGAAGGCAGGCCCATTCTTGCATGAATCTTTGTGCATCAGGCCTCACACACACACACACATACACACACACATACAGTCTGTAGGGATATACTGGTAACAGTGGGGAGTTCCTTTTGGGAGTGATAAAAATTCATATGAGCAAAACCAATGGATGAAAAACTCTGGGGGGAGGGAGGGCATTTATGGGTGTGGGAGGGGCAATGGAAAGATTTGTATGCAAATACCTTAATAAAAACAAAACAAACAAACAAAAATGTGAACTTCTATAACTGGTGGTTTCACATCTTTGTGAATATTCTAAGACCATCAAATAGTGTACTTAAAAAAAATGAATTTTATGGAATATGCATCAAAATAATAAACCTAAAGGCATTAATAGAAGTTCTATTCTCAGATATTCAAAGGCTAAATGACTTCCCTAAAGTCTGATTCACCAAGTGGGAAAGCCAGGACTCCAACGCAGGGCTTCTGGCTCTACACCAACTAGTTACCTTTTTTTCACCCTAATTTAAGGTAAGGTTCCTTCGGCCCTTGTGGCCTTTTGCTAATAGTTGGTCTTTGACTATTCTTCCTCACAGACCTTTATCCAACTCAAACTCTCAGCCAAACAGGAAGGGGAGAGCAAAGGCAGGGCGGAGAGAACCCCACCGACTGCAGGCCCAAACTGGCAGTGTCCAGGAAAGGGGAGAGTGCCCCATTTGTGCAGGTAAGCTGCTTGGGCACAGGCGGTTGTTGTGGGACCTCGAGGCATCCCCTGAGGGGGGATGGATCTGGGAATGCTGCCAGGAAACATTTGAACTTGGACTCCTAGCCTTTGTCTGCCGTGCAGGGACATACAAATCTTTGTTGGGCAACTGCTCACTTTGTGTTGTAAGCTGCTTGGGCACAGGCGGTTGTTGTGGGACCTCGAGGCATCCCCTGAGGGGGGATGGATCTGGGAATGCTGCCAGGAAACATTTGAACTTGGACTCCTAGCCTTTGTCTGCCGTGCAGGGACATACAAATCTTTGTTGGGCACCTGCTCACTTTGTGTTGGCCAAGCTGCAGCAGGGACAGGGGTCATGTCCTCAAGGAGAAACGTGGAACAAAACAATGTATAACACGATCAGATTTTTTTCTCATTCTACTTGTTTCTGCTCATTAGGAGCCAATACAATACTTAAAGATGTCCTTAAACATAAAGCCAAAAATAAAAATAAAACACTATCAGAAAGGGCACAGAATATCCTTCATACTTTTTTCCTCTGTGTCCAAATTCTACTTACTGTCTGAGTCTCTGTTCAAATATTACTTATTTGCCAAGGCTTCTCTAATCTTCTCAGATAATCTCTTCCCACTGAGCTCCTGCAGCCTTCTCCCATCCCCTTGGGCTTAGCACTTCTCACCTTCTCTGCGTCACAGCTACTTGTGTTCATAGCTTAGCTTCACCTCTAACTGCAGCCCTAAGGACGGGCCTGGGTCTAAATGCCTTGGCTCCTAGCACAATGTCAGGCACATAGGAGACACTTGATGAATGTTTAGTGGATTTACGATCGGACAGTGTCTCCATGTAAAATATTCAGTTCCTACAGAGACAGCTGCATTTTGACAGGCCGCTCGGGGTGTGCCAGGAGCAGCCCCAATTTTGCTTACCTCTCTCCCTCCCCACTTAGGCTCCTTCAGCGCTGAGATTCTTCCCCAGCATGCTGCCACCTGTGGAGAGACCTCCCCTCCTCACCTCGTCTCTCCCTCCTCATCGCCGCCTTCATCGCCATCTGTGCTGTGGGTGTCCTCAGAGAGCTCATCACCCGTGTCCTGGATCCAGTGCCCTATCTGCCAGCTGCATTTCTCAGCAGGAGAAGTAGAGGAACACGCCAGCATGTGTGGAGAGGCCCCTCAGGCATGAGCCAAGAGGTCCTGTGGTTTTGGCCTCCTTATCCTCTGTGACTAAAGCTGGGGAGGGAATCCCTTGACAAGAATGGCTGATGAGACCAAACACTCTCTCTGCTCCCCGCCACTCATTCCCTCAGGACTCTGCCTAATGGCACCTCTGAGCCCAGCCTGCCCCGGCTCCCAGTTGTCAAGGCTTCTGTCACCATGGCTGGCACCTTATTTTCCCAAGGACGGATTCATCCTTTTCCCCTTTGGAACTTCCGGGCTTTGGGACGCAGTCCAGTTATCTTCCCCTAGTGAGTGGGTGTGCATCCTTATGCCCATTTTCCCAAAAGGAAGACTGAGGTCCTATGAAGAGAATTACTGCCTAATAAATAAGATGCTGTGGTGTACTGGGAAGGTGATTTTTGAACATGAGATCAACCTCCAGGATTCCATGAAGGGTTAATGTCTAAGGAAGGGTTCTGGGCTTGGCTGTGGGTCCTTGGTCAAACCCTGTCCCCACCTGTCCAGTGAGGCAGTTGGACCAGAGGGTGTCCAAGGTCCCCTCCAGCTATGACTCTAAATTCTGTTCCCACCTTTTTTGAGCAACTATGTCCTCTCACTCCTTTCCCAGAATATTTCATGGTGTGGTACTACCATCAGTTCTCCTGGTCTCCATGTTACAGGGCTGAGGGCCAGCAGCTGGTCCTGGCAGAGGAAGGGCCGGGGGCGGGTTTTGAATGAATAGGAAAGAGGCAGCTGGACACAGGGGAGCAGACAGAACAGGAGTTGTAAGCTTCCTGCGCTGTGCTCTGGCCACCTGAGTCAGCTCCCGTAAGGGAGTTCCAACCATCGAGCGAGACTTGCCCAGGCCAATGGGAACTACAGAGCTATATACTCATTCTTCACATCTTCCCTTCCACCTGTTTGACTCCCAGGGATCCTTCAGCACTTAGCTTCAATGCTTTTCAAAGGAACTCTCCTCAACTCCCAGACTAATCCTGGGGCAGGGGCAGGGCCTGAGGAGGGAGCGTATGGACCTACTACCTTTAAGTCATTGAGGCCCTGGTCCAGTGCCTCACAGAGACTGCCTACCGGGAGTTCGAGGTTGGTTACTCACCTCTGAACTGTCCCCATTTCTGTTCCTCGCCGGCTGGGATAAATGCACCACACCCAGACTCACACCCCTTTTCCATCCCGCAGTCAATTGTGGCCCCATCCTACCTGCACTTCGAAGCCACGGCCTGCACAGTGTGGCCCCTTGCACTCAATTACCCTCTGAACCATTTACTTATTCTTTTCATTTCACTTCTGTGTTCACTTGTTCTCATCTACTCCCTTACTCGTTTTACTCATATACTTGGTTCATGAGTCATTCACTTATTCATTCGTTCAACCAACATTCCTAGCCATCCCCCTTGTGCCCCAGGCCCTGTCTTGGAGGGCGGGTTCTGCAGAGCGGGGACATATAGGAAGCTTTCAGTCTGGTGAGGATTATGAACCGTCTTATTAGGCAGAAGGTGCTTCACTAAAAGAGACACAAGCTGCAGTGGGACCCAAAGGAGAGAAGGAACCTACCATCTGAGAGGCTCGGGGGGGAGGAAGAGGTGAGAAAGAGGAGGTGGAATCTGAGCTGGATCCTGAGCACCGCTACAAGTGGACAGCTGCAGATGGGGAAGAGAGCCGACAGGGCAGATGCACAAATCTCTACCTCTTAATCACTTTCCCCTCCTTAGGGCTCTTGATCCTGTCCTTGGCCCACAGACGTTCCTCCTTTGTGTCTTCTAAACTCACCACCACCTACCCCCGCTCATATTCATCTGCCCCAGACTCCACCTACCTACTAGACCCCTGTCAGAGAGAAAGAGAGAGGGAGAAAGGAAGAGCAACATCAATCTCATTTCTCCCCCAGGACCCCAAGCATGATGTCCCCTGGGGTTCTGTGGAGGGTAGAAGTGGTACAAGGCAGTTTCATCTTCTGAGGGACCTCCCATCAATACTCCCCCCGCCTCACCCTCCCACAGACCTGGGCCACAGACTGACAGGCTGACCGTGACGCTCTTGGCTGCAAAGTGAGATAGCTGGTGTGCAGTGGACTCTGGCAGAGGAAGGGTCACCCGGGCCCCTGAGGGTGACAGCATCCTCAGCTGCTCTGTCTGTCACCAGGTGTGCAACAGCTTCCAAAACCTGGGGCTTCCCATCCTTGAGACCCCAGAGCTGACAGTGCCAGGGATGGCGGGGACCCAGTTATCTTCAGAAACTGGGCTTCGCAGAGACCGGTTTGATTCAGTGGATAGAGCGTCGGCCTATGGACTGAAGGGTCCCAGGTTTGATTTTGGTCAAGGGCATGTACCTTGGTTGCAGGCACATCCCAGCAAGGGGTGTGCAAGAGGCAGCTGACCGATGATTCTCTCTCTTCCTCATATATATATATATATATATATATATATATATATATATATATATTTTTTTTTTTTTTTTTTTTTTTTTAAAGAAAGAAACTGGGCTTCAAGATGCTGGAGGAGGTGGGTCTCTAGCACCTGGAAAGTCTGGCCTCTCCTCCTCAGCTCATGTGCTGGTGCATAAGCAGCAGGAGTCAGAGGGGGCTGGGGCCCTGCCCAGGAGGGTTCTTGCTGCAGTGGGAGGGCTCCTTCTGTACCTGACGAGGGCAGCTACATGCTGAGGGTGGAGGTCATCTCGGAGGAGCCTGCACTGCTTTCCTCACCTCGATAAGGTTTCTGTTCAGGATGTCAGATACCTCCCGAGTGTGTGAGAATCGCTGTCTCTTCGTGTTTTATGACCCCTTCCCTTTAGTGAAGCACCTTCACTGTCTCTTCGTGTTTTATGACCCCTTCCCTTTAGTGAAGCACCTTCTGTGGGAGCAGGGCAGAGAGAAACGTCTTGCTCTGGGGTCTCGAGTACCTTGGGCTTAGGATCCTACCTTGAGTTCCTTCAGCTCCTTAGTGCAGAGTTCTGGACTGCGAGGCGGGGGGCCTGTTTTCAACACTAACTCTCTGACTTTGAGCAAATCGCTTTCCTCCTTGGGTTTGCCTTTCCTCATCTGACGAATGAGCAGAGGAATCCATCTGTCCCCTTCCTGCCTTCAGTATGTTGAGAGGAACTTCAGGCTGTTAAAGCTTCTGGGTTTGCAAGTTATAGTGTGTGACAGGGACCTGCACAGGGGACCACATCTAGGAGAGAGAAAGAAGTCATTCTTTTAAATCCCTCAGTCCTGCAAGGCCAGAGCAGGGCAGATGGTCCAGACTCATGGAATAAACTAATCACGAAATTCGATGTCACCACTCTTTAATCAAGAGGTCATCACAGCACTACCTTTACTTGTCCCAGGGAGTCTCCACCCTTCCATGGCCTCAGATCCCCCACATCCTGGTTGGGGAGATAGCTTCTAGGGCTGGGTATGAAACCATGTTCTTGCTTCTTTTTTTTGTTGTTTTTTTTTTGTTCTTGCTTCTTGAGGCTTCTCAAAAGCCTCCTTCTTCATATGAAGGTCATCAGTTCCCAGGACCCCTAAGTGGCAGGCCTTAGACTTTCAAGGGCCCAGCTCCTGAGAGCTGGAATCCCCTGGGGGCCAAGTGTAGGGTCTTCCAGGAGAGCAGGGAGAAGGGCCTGCTGGATGATAGATCTGGCTGCCCCCCCTGCTGGAGAGAAAAGAAAAGAAGGTGAGGGGCCAGCAGGACCAGGAAGAGTCAAAGCAGCTGAGGGAGGGGAAGGAGGGTAACTCACTTGGTACAGACATACAGCCCTGCCTCTTCTCCCCTGGAATAGACAGCTTGGTGAGACTTTCATGTAGACAGACCCTCACACCCCAACACCCCTTCCCACCGAGCTCTGGCCCTGGCCTTTCCCCTTCTCAATCCATCTTTCCCTTCCCCTACATGCGAACTTCTGGCTTCCTTTCCTCCTCCGTACCCCAGGAAGTCTTCCCAGAGAGCCTACCCATCCCTGCTCCCTCCCGAGCTCCAGTCACTGCTCCACCCTGTCCCTGCCTCCCCGCTTGGGAAGAGCACAGATATGTCCAGTGGGCCCGCGAAGCCCAGGCCTCCTGAGACCTGAAGCAGCATTCCTGTCACTTCCCTCTCCTTGCTGACCCCCTGGGCTGGGCTCTTTTGCTCGATCAGACTCTATAGCACATGGGACCTTTTGAGCACATTTACAGAATCATTTGTAAATATGCACAGATCTGGAAAACACTGGCAGGACCTTCTTTCTAAGAGCTGGTAGGACCTAAGTCACGGAGAACCGTAACTGCAGCTGACGTCTACCCTTAACCAACGAGACCTCCGGAAGGCCCTGGGGATCGGCAGGGACATCCCGGCTTATTGCACCCTCTTTGCCAGTCCTGCTTCCCTCGTGCACAGCTCACCACTCAGATAGGCGCAGTTAAAGTAGCTGCAGGTCTTATGGCTGCTGAGAGTCACCAGGTTCCGGGCTCCCTCTCGGGAGAACTTGGTGACCAAGAAGATTTCTTGGGGAGGGATTAGCACCTCGCGCTCCTTGGGAAAAACAGACAGGGCCTCGATGGGGGCCCCAAAACAAGTCCTCAGGGAGAAGAAGGTGGCGTTACCAAATCTCCGGGCCACTGCCTCGTCTAGGGTGCTGGAGACAAACTGGCCCAAGCGGACAGAGTCCCCCACCCGCTTGGGTTCAAAGCGAAGAGTGTCTACACCTCGGAACACCACCTGCCCGGGTCCCTTGCTGCAGCCCCCGCTCCCCTTCAGCAGCTGCAGGGCCCGGGTCAGGTAGAAATGCAGGGCCTTGAAGGGGAAATGCCTCATGTAGTGCTCCCGGGAGACGCCGCCCGTCCGCACCGCCTGGTTCAGCTCCCCATACAAGTTGTTGGTCGAGTTGGTGTAGACCATGATGGCGATTCCATGCTGGGGTTTGAAGCCAGGGGGCAGTGTGAGCCCTCGCTGCTTCTGCCCCCAGGCCGCCTGGGCTGCCTCCCAGGATTCCCGCAGCAGCTTGTGGCGGGCCATCTCCTCCTTCAGCAGAAGGGCTGCCTTCTCCTCCATCTCCTCCGCACAGCCCACGTAGGCATCATCGAAGGTGTCAGGGGCCAGGCTCAGGGGCAGGACGGGAACAGCCTGGGCCTGATGTGGTAAGGAAGAGAGCAGCCACACAGGAAAGGGTATAAATTCAGAGCATTGGGCAGGGGCCAGGTGGCAGATCAGTTCAGAAACACGGAATCTCATTTTTTTTTTTTTTTAATGTCCAAATATCTGGTGTATATAATTTGGCAAGAGTCCAAAGGCTTACATAACGTAGGCACTGGAGTCAGACATGGGTTCATCACTTATTAGCTGTGGGATCTTGGCCAGTCTCTTAACTCTTCTGGGCTTCAGGTTTTCCACCTATAAATTCATACTTCCAACCCCATAGGGCTGTTGTGAGGCTAGGATATAGATCTTCACTTCTGTACAACTTTAGGTCATCTTGTCATTCCCTCAGAGGGAAGCGGGGCGAGATGGCTTCCAAGCACTGTTCTGGCTCTAAGACTTGGTGTGCAGATGATATACAGATGTGCCACTGTATCCCAATTACCTGACCCCGTCCTATCCTCAGACCCTCTTTCCCTCCCATGCAGTGCTCAGCCAGCACACCAAATCACTGTCAGCGCTGAGATTCCGGCTGTTCTCCCGTTGTCAGCCCTAGACCTGGGGAGGGGTGGGTGGGAGCCCTGGTCCCTGAGGGACTGACTGCAGGAGGGCAGAACACAGGGGGCCCTACCCACCTTGCCTAGACTGAGCCTGTGGATGGAGATGGAGATGGGGAATTGGGGATGAGGAAGTTAGTGGCCGTTCCTAGGCAGGGATGAGTATGAAGGAAGGAGGATCACAGGAGGATCAGGGGGTGAAGATGGGGGTTCTGGCAGAGAAAATGGGGACTGGGGGCGGAGCGGGGGGGGGGGGAGAGGAAAGACTGCAGAGAGGAAGAGCATTGAGAGGACTGGGGTCTTAGAGAACAGTCTCTGGGAGAGATTTTTGAGGAGTTTGCCTCCCAGTGTTATGGCAAGACCCTGCGAAGCAGGGCTCCAGGCCACGGAAGGAATGAGCAACCAGATCCACAACAAAGATGTAGCATGATACGCTTTAGCCAAGCATAACTGTTAGCCATAAAATACCCGTGTTTCTGCTGAAACCGGTTTGGCTCAGTGGTGGAGCGTCGGTCTGCGGACTGGAGGGTCCCGGGTTCGATTCCGGTCAGGGCATGTGTGTTGGTTGTGGGCACATCCCTGGTGGGGGGTGTGCAGGAGGCAGCTGGTCGTTGTTTCTCTCTCATTGATGTTTCTAGCTCTCTCTCTCTCTCCCTCCTCTCTGTAAAAAATCAATAAAAATATATATTTTTTAAAAAAAATACCCGTGTTTCCCCGAAAAGAAGACATCCTCCGAAAATAAGACCTAGTGCATGGAACGATAAGACATCCCCTGAAAATAAGACCTAGTGCAACTTTGGGAGAAAAAATTAATATAAGGCACTGTCTTATTTTCGGGGAAACAGGGTAGTTCTGTTGCAAGGCTCAACCCCCAGGTAGGCATGTCCTGTTTCCAGTAGCCGCAACGCAGAACAGACCAAACCAGGTCATACAGAGACTGCTTAAGCTGAAAATAACCCCCCCACCCCAGGTGTTGTATAAACTTTAAATGTTACTGTACTAGTAGGATTTTTCTATAACTTATAACTGGCATTTCTTTGTTAAAACTTTTAGCCAATCATAATCTGCCAGGCATCCCTAAAACGGGGATAAAAGTAGCATGCTTAGCGTGGGTCGGGGCTCTCGTTGCTCGCTGCTGTGTCAGTTGAAACATGAGCCCGGACTCGAGTTCGTAATAAAGGCTTCCTAAATTTCAATTTGGCTGACTGGTGGGCGTCATTCGCGGGTGGCCCACAACACCAGCTCTTTCCTTGGTGGCAGGGATGGTTCCCCCAGTTACCTGCCAGAAGGCGAGATGGCCGAGGAAGCTGAGGGTGAGCAGCAGAGCAGCCTGCATCATCTCTGGGGGAGACAGGAGAGCGAGGTCCGGATGCGGGTGGGTCAGTGGCAGCGGTGGAGCCTTGGCTTCAGCGGGCTGGAGGAGGAGGAGACTGTGCACACCTTTTCTGCTTTGGTGTGAAGATGGTCCCGGACGCGGGCCCAGGCGTGGGCGGGGCCAAGGGAGTGGGCAGGGCTTGGGTGTTACCATCTCCGCCCCCAGCACAGCCCCAGCACAGCCCCAGCACAGCCCCAAGTCTCGGCTCCTCCAACCCCCGGATGCCTCTACCCTCTGTGCCTCCGCCTAAGTGTTTGCCGTGGTCCAGGGGATTTGACTCCACCTGGCGAGGGGCGGGGGCAGGGACCCGGCACCCACCTGGAGGTCACAGAGGCCGAGAGGGCGGGAAGGTGTGGTAGGGACAGCGGTGCCGCTTGGTGTCAGGAGGAGCCAGGCTGGTCCGGGACCGGCTGAGTCCCACAGCTAACTATAGCCCCGGGCAGTAACCCAACCTCTTCCCCAACGACTGACGCTCTGGCCGGGGGAGCGGGAGGGGTGAAGAAGGGGCTGGACGGCTGACTCCCCTCCCCAAACTGCCAGTTCTTTCTCCAGGACCCTCTTGGGCTCCAAGCAATTCCAGGGTTGGGGGAGGGAGCTGGTGGTTCAGGACCCCTCCCTCAGGGGTGTCTAACCGGGTACCCAGACCATTAGGCCCGGGAACCCAGCGAGGGCCGCCTGCTCCCTTCCTTGCCCCTCCCCCCCAACCTCCGTCACCACTTGCATACTCGCTGATTTGCATGCAATTTGCATATGATTCGCTCTTTAGGGCACCCGCCTCTCCCTTTTCTTCCTCCCCCTTCCCTGTCAGTAAGGTTGGACCAGATGCAGAGCTCTCAGTTTCAGATCCTCAAGGTCCACCCTGACTCCCTCCCAGACCGGTGTTTTATAAGCACTGGCCTTTCCCCTCCCCTAGTGTGGGCCAGTCTATAAATAACCTGGCTCTGAGCTTTGGATGCCCAGTCAGAGATAACGGGGAAGGAGCCAGCCGAGGTATCAGTAAGCAGCTCTGGGGAGAACTTTCTGAGGGCCTGAGCCTCTGGGCGTGAGAGAGGTATGCCCCCAGAATGGCCAGAGGAGTTGGGGTTCCTGACTGTCAGGACTGAAGAGACTGCCCACTTCCGGCTGGGGCTGAGATGGGCATGGAGATTAGATTTACCCCAGGCTTCCATCCTAGTCTGGCTCATTAGTTTGGCCCCATCCTATTCCTCACCCCTCAGACTGCCACACCAAATAAAAAATTTCCTTCACCTAGAATCCTGCTTTTTCCAAAAAGCCTTTCTACAGACTAATAAGGAAGGTGAACCGTGTTTGGGCTTGGATGAAGGCGAGAGGTGAAAGAGTGGCATTCCAGCCCAGCTGGTATGGCTCAGCAGTTGAGCGTTGCCCTATGAACCAGGAAGTCATGGTTCAATTCCCAGTCAGGACACATATCTGGGTTGGTGGCTTGGTCCCTGGTGGGGGGCATGCAGGAGGCAGCCAATGATTCTCTCTCATCATTGATGTTTCTATCTCTCTCTCCCTCTCTTTTCCTTTCCGGGGGGGAAAAAAAAAAAAAAAAAAAACACAAGAGAACGTTTCTCAGGTAAACAGCTTCAAGACTAGTCCTTCTGCCCCTCCAAAGAGACTGGCCACCTCCAAGGTCCCTTAATTAGAAGAAAATCAGAAGCCATTCTACTGTTTGGCATTACCGTGAAAAGAGCATCTGCTTCCACTAGAGGCCCGATGCATGAAAATTCATGCACTGAAGGGGGGAGGGGGCGGCTCTCAGCCCTGCCTGCCCACTCACAGTCTAGGAGCCCTCAGAGGCAGGAGGTGACCCGGCAATCAGGGGAAGGCGACGACCCTGTCACACCTCTGCTGCCACTGCCGGCAGCGCAAGCTTCAGCTGGCCCTGGTTACCTGAGCCTCAGGCAGCCTGGGCGGCTGGGAAGCCAACATCCAAGGCTTGCCTGCACCTTGGGCCGACCCTGGGTGACTGAGGGTGGGTCTGGCCACACCGTGCGCCTGTCCCCTCCCCAGTGGGGCTGAAAGGACTGGGGGACTTGGGCGGGGCTGAGGAAACTGGGTGCCTCCATCTTGTGACTATGGGTGCTGCCACCTTTGTCATGGCATGATGGACAATTTGCATATCCCCTCTTTATTAGATAGGATATCTTGCCTGCCTGGAGGGACTGAAGCTTTTGCTGTTGCTGGAACAGAAGATACTGTCTGAGACAGTAAGGCCTTCTCAGGCAGTTCCTGGGAACAGATCTAATGGGATCATGGCTTTGTCTTCTCTCCACCCTCTGGCTTTGGGGAATTGTTCCCAAGACTGGAAAACCCAAGAAAGGCCCCAAGGGATGGGGTCAAAACTAGCCATAGAACAGGAGTCCACAGTGAGACAGAAAGTCCTCCAAGATTACATGGCAAATCAATGCTGGAGCTGGGACCCAGACCCAGCCTTCTTGATCTGGGAATCTCTCCTTCACCTTAGGTGAGTCTCCATGCTCACATGAAAGGAACAAACATGAGGAGATGTTCTCTGAGGCCAGGGGTGCTGAGCCCAGGACCAAATCGGAAGGCCGTTGTTCCAGCCTGGAGCCTCCACGCCCGAGCCCACCTTGTCTCTAGCTTCAGGGATTCCCCTTTTTTATGGGGAGAGCACTGGCCCAGGGCAGACTGGGCAGAGGCTAGTGTTCCTGAACCGTGATGAGATATCCAGAAATAGATGGGGGAGTGTCACCTTTCTGAGCAGCTGTGTGGGGGAGATACAGTATAAAGGAGGAACCTGCTCTCCCCCTCCCTGGCGGCCATCACAGGAGACCAACACCAGCTTCCCTGCCCTGGAGAAGCCCTAGGTAAGGAGCACACCACCCTCTCCCGGCACTGTGCAGGGTATTTTTTAGGGAAAATTTGGGGTATTAATGGTGGAGTTTTAGGAATCATTAGGACAAGTTTACCTTAGTCTGTTGTCTCCGTCTCTCATACTTCTGAAGGCTGGAAATCCAAGGTCGGGGTGCTAGCATGGTTAGGTGAAGGCTCCCTCCCTGGACCAGAGCCCATACCTTTTCACGGTGCTCACATGGTGGAAGGGAGCTCTATGGGGTCTCTTTTATTAGAACACTAATCTCCTTCCAGTAGGCTCCACCCTCAGGAACTAATCACCTCCCAAAGGCTCCACCTTCTCATACCATCGCACAGACATTAGGATTCCAACATGCGAATTTTGGGGGGACTCAACATTTAGGCCAAAGTACCTTTGGTAGAGAGGTTTGGAACCATTGGGGAATTTGGGGATTCCTGGGGAGACATTTGAATTCACATGCACAGAGAGGGTTGTTCATGGAGGGCCTGAAAAGTGGGAACTGATGATAAGGAGTGTTCTGAGCTGCTGAGGACAAAAGGGCAGCTGGGATATGAAAATGGGTTGCTTGGTGCCTCCACTTCCTCAACTCCCACGCCTCCCAGTTACTCTGGCCCCCCACCCCCCACTCCATTTGCCCACATCACTGGTCCCCAAAGTCATTGATCCACTTGCTTGCAGTAGTCTATCTTGCTAGTTGTACCCAGAGAGCCTCTCAGATTCTTAGCAAATATTCTGGAAGGCCTCACCTGGGCCTAGCCTTGGGCTGACCTCTGGGGACCAAGAATGGGTCGTACAGGTCTCTGCCCTCAGACACTTAAGAGCAGCACTGTATGATCAGGACGGACCCAGGAAAGTGTGGGGCGATACAGGAGCCCAGAGGAGCCGAGGATTTCCTGGAGGAGGTGACCCTTGAGCTAAGCCTGGAAAAGTGAGTAGCAAAAGAAGGGCATTCCCAGAAAATGGCAGAGCCACGGAGAGGAAAATAGCGGAGCCTTGCCCGGACCTTTGTTCTGTACTGTAGAAGCCAAGCAGAGGGGGTGGGGCAGGAGGCTAAAGAGGTCCCAGAGGGTCCCTCAAGGGGGCATCAAACACCAGAGGAGGTTGGATTCTGTCCTGAGAGACTCTGATTGCCCTTGCTTATGTCATGCATCCATTCATGAACCAATCACAATAGCCAGGGTGGGAGAGCACCAGTTTGGAGTCATATGTTCAGCCCATGAGGGTAAGCCCCACCGCTTATCCTTGCACTGGGTTCTCCACAAGAAAGAGAGGATCTATTATAAAAGCTCAAGCTTCTTGTGTGGGTTCCAAGGGACCACAGCCAAATAGATTTTGCTGCAACATACTCTGCCCATTAGAATTCCCTCCTGGCCCTAACCAGTTTATCTCAGTGGATAGAGCATCAGCTTGCGGACTCAAGAGTCCAAGGTTCGATTCCAGTCAAAGGCATGTACCTTGGTTGTGGGCATATTCCCAGTAGGAGGTGTGCAGGAGGCAGCTGATGGATGTTCCTTTCTCATCGATGTTTCTAACTCTCTCTCCCTCTCCTTTCCTGTCTGTAAAAAATCAATAAAATATATATTTTTTAAATTAAAAAAAAAAGAAAAAAGAATTCCCTCCTGGAGTTGGGGAGCAGAGCCTCATGCTTCATGGCCCACAGTGATGTTTTCAATTCTGTATACTCTGTGCCTCCTCTGGTCAGCTCTTCATTTAATCTCACTCCTGGTACAATTTGTTTCTGTTAGGCTCTTTTGGTTCCTTCTGTAGCATGCATCATATGCGACTTGAAATTACTCCAGCTCCATTTCCACTTCAAAAGAACTTAAAGAAGCAAGGGTGTGGGTTTTGTTGTTCATAACTTTTTTATCCTCACCTGAGGATATGTTTGATTTTATTGAGAGAGGAAGAGAGAGAGAGAGAGAGAGAGAGAGAAAGAGAGAGAGAGAGAGAGAGAGAGAGAGAACATCAATTGCTTGCTTCCCATACATGGCCCCTACCAGGGATCTAACCTGTAACTTAGATATGTGCTCTCATTGGGAATCAAACCCACAACCTTTTTGGTGTACGGATGACATTCTGACCAACTAAGCCACCCAGCCAGGGCTACTGTTCATAATAT